AACAAAATGCATCACCTTTTATATGGTCACCCTGTTTGCTAGAAAGGAAATCTCCATTGCTAATTTCTCAGAATTAATTAGCATAGTTCAGAATCGAGCTCCAGACACTGCCGGCACCTGCATAATTATTGTACTGCCAAGAGGTCTAAGTACAACAAAATAAATGAGAAGAAAAGAAAGATAGTCTTTTAAGTATGGTGACCACATTCCTGTTTTACTAAACAAGAACACATCTATTAATCACTTATTTTACAAAAATTACTACCAAGTTGAATTTACATAAACAAATAGATGTGCACTTTGCTGGACAACTTATTAGCCAAAATTTTAAGCAATCTTCTTTGATTGAGATTCAAGTATATTAGTCGTAATTCTCTTCTCTATAAAAGTATGTTTTCTAAGTACTAAAGGAGGGGAAATAAATCTGTCTCTGCTTTCTAACATGTAAAAGCCATAAATGGAAGTAAATACAGGAAATTGTTGGTAAATAATTGGTAAATTCTAGAAATTACTCTTCTTCAACTGGGACAAAGAATATTTCTACTTTGAAGTCGTGAGCACTGATAAATATGGTAATTTGTGGACTGTCACCAATTTCTATGGATAGATTTTTATCAATAATTCTGAACTCTCCATTGTACTTCTTATTTGCTATAATCTTTCCTGCTTTTACCTAGAGCCTCCAGCGTCAGGAAAAAGATAGTCTATTTAACAGTTGCATGTTGTAATTCTCACAAAGTTTTCATGCTACCTACACAAAAACTATGTATTTTTATAATTGGGAGGAAATCCTCAGCCTATTTATAAGGTTTATTTCAATCTAAAATAAATTGAAATTTCAATTAGGGGAACATACAACTTGACTAAGTATTTTAATTTTCAATGTATTTATAAACAAAAAATTAATCCAGGGTAGGCATTTCATTTAAAAAGTACCTGATCAGAGCCAGCCCATGGCTCACTTGGGAGAGTGTGGTGCTGATAACACCAAGGCCACGGGTTCAGATCCCTATAAAGGGGTGGCCAGTTGGCTCACTTGGGAGAGCATGCTGCTGACAACACCAAGTCAAGGGTTAAGATCCCCTTACTGGTCATCTTTTAAAAAAAATAAAAAGTACCTCGTCATTTTTTAAAGAAAGGTTTTAGAGATTAAGGGACCACAATCAAGATAGATTATTGTCTTCTATAAAATGGTTAACTTTTAAAAGAAGAAAGCGTACTCGAACAGATATTTGTACACCTATGTTCACTGCAGCATTATACACAATAGCAAAAAGGTAGAAGCCACCCAGGCGTCCATCGCAGGATGAATGAATAAACAAAATGTGGTATATATATACAATGGAATATTATTCAGACTTAAAAACAAAGGAATTTGGCACATGCCACCACCGGGATGAACCTTGAAGACGTTATGCTAAATGAAATAAGCTAGTCACATAATGACAAATATTGAGTGATTCCACTTATATGACGTACTTAGACTAGTCAAATGCATAGAGACGGAAAGTAGAATGGTGGTTGCCAGGGCTGGAGGAGGGAGAATGGGGAATTAGTGTTCAATGGGTATAGAGTTCCAGCTGGGGAAGATGAAAAAGTTTTGGAGATGAATATTGATGATGGTTGTACAACAGTGTGAATGTGCTTAAGGCCACAGAATTGTGCACTTAAAAATGGTTAAAATGGTAAATTTTATGTATATTTTACCACGATACAATTAAGAAAGGTACCATTCTAAAAAATGAACAGTCTATCTAATCACAAATGAAGACAGTGAACAACCAGATATTCTAATGTTTTTAAAAGACACCTTTACCTGGAGTCTTTAATTTCACTGTTTTTTGTTTGTTTGCTTTGCTTTCTCCATCTTTTATACCCCCAAACCCCTAAGTTCATTGGATTTCATGTATTCATTTTGTGAGTTAAGGGTTTTACGATGGGAAGACCAGACTCCAAGAATCACCAATTATTATGTTCAGAAAAATTATATTCTTCTTGAAGTCTAGTCTATGCAGCCAAAGAACACAATTTCATATCATACAGTAGCATATTTTTGTAATAAGCATTTCCCTTTTATATAAAATTTATCCAAGTTAATTTTCTTCTGCCTAGTCTATACAATTCTGAGTTCTATACTTTCCATAATCCCATCTATATTTTCTATATTCCCATCTTTCTGGAATTTTAAATAATGTTCCAACATTTGAGTCTTAACTCCCGACTAGAATTTTTGAAGAATTATTGATCTGTGATCTATAAAATTTATAGTAACCTGCTTTCAAGTTCATTATTTTCATGACAAAGCTGCAAGACAGATTATCAGAAAATTTTATTTTGTCTAATCTTAAATGTGGCAGTCAAGAGCATGGACTTTATAGTCACATGGCCTGGGTTTGAATCCTGGTTCTACCAATAACTAAATGCATTAAAGTGGGTAAATTATTTAAATTCTCTAAATCTCAGTTTCCTCATTTTAAAAATGTGGATAGTAATACCTAAGACATGTGAGGACTATGCATATAAAGCTCATCAGCAATGTGTGATATGTAGTAAATTCCTAATAAATGGTAGCTATTAATAATAATAATAAAACAACAACATAACATGTAGAAATGACAAGCACACTATTGGACTGAAAAACATTATACTGTAATTTTAAAAAATGACTCCTTTAGTTTTTGACTCTACAATGAATCCAGGAAAAAAGATTATCTGTATTTTGTAAAACTTGTTTTCTTTTGATTGTCTCTTCCAAATAACTTGATTCTTAATACTGTGTTAAACAAAAGAAATTAAACCAAGCAAAACGAGAAGTAAATGTGAGTATACACACATAAGCACACATACATACACCTACACACACCCCTCTTTAATGTCCTCTATACAATTTGAGGAAGTTGTATAGAAACATGAGAAAAAATGTTGAAAAGTAAACAGGAAGAGCCACAGACTACAATGAGGGTGACAAGATATACAAATGTAAGCAAATTTCCAAATTCAACTATTTGAATAATTCATTCGGAATCACATTATTGCCAGAAAAATATACTGCAATTCTTCTGGTAATTACCCTTTGAGATAAATCCACAAGTCCAGAAAAGTTAGATATTCTCATCCCTTCTTATCAGTGCAGGCAAAAGAACTTATTTTCTTTAAACAAAACCAAGTTGCTACCACAGTCACTACTACGTCACTACTACTGAAGATTTCTAAAGCATATAATATTTGATAATGAGATTTCTGCCACAATTTCACTAGAAAGCACAAAGGGTTTATATACTAGATATCAACTCCTACTACCCAAGTACAAAGTAAAAATCAAATTTTATAATAGACTTGTATTTCCAAAAACATACTCCTTGGTATACTAATCGCACAAGACATTGGGATGGGAAGATAAAAGGGTTCTGTAGTCAAATAAGTTGAAGCCTGGAAAATGCTGCATTCTATACCTCTTTCTTAGAGATTCATAATACTACTAACATAAAAGGTTCTGAGAAGTCCTGCAGTGAGCCACATAATTCTTTTTTTCAGGAAATGCTAAAGAGCCAGTGTTCGTCATAACAACTTATATTGGGAAATGTACAATAAATTGCCTTTGATTAGTTATTAAACATGTAATTTCATATGCACTTGTCCCAAAAATGTAGTCACCAACAGAATTTGCTGAAGTCCCAAAATGAGCCCATTGTACTTTATGTCAGAAAAAAAACCTAACGTGCCTAGACTAGCATTTATACTATTTTTGACAAATTGTACTTATTTCCAGACTATGTGTTTTGACCCCCCTTTCAGCCTGTATGTTATTTAATCAAATCCAAACACCCAGGTTCTAATACCTGTGAAAAGCTAAAAATGAATGTGAGCCTCTAAGCCATTTCTTTCTGGGTGTCACTGTAAGCTGAGAATACCCTGCAGCTGTGAGCTACTGGGTATCTTCAAACATGAGAATACTAAACTCAGTTACATCATTTTATTAACTGGTGCTATGAACCTACATTTATGCAATTCTACAGTAACATAATGAATGTTCCACAACATTAATCCTAAAGCAAAGTAGTGATTGATTATTACTTCATTCCCTTAACATCCTCCTAACACCCCATTAAGTATATAGAACAAAATATTGTAATTACTACTTTTACATATAGAGGTTAAGCAACTTGCCCCAAGTACCCATACTCAGCAGGGACCAGTTTCTTGTTGGACAGACCCTGTGCATATTACAACTATACAAACGGTATCAGATAATCACCCTAAAATATGAACAAAAACAGGAAATTCCTTTACTAATAGCTTATTATTTAAGGAATTTTCTTCTTTTGAAATAATTTTGGCAAACAATTTGCTAGAAATCTGAACTTGAACAAAAAAATCAGATGGTGTGCTAGATAGCTTTTTGTGAGTTCAGAAATTAAGAACAGAGTCTTAACAACTGTAATGAGGCATTCATTACTTTGTCCTTGTGTTAGATGAAACAAAATAAGCAAGCTACAATTAATTCTGAGTGAAGTGTGAATGTGAATGATTATGTTGGCAGGCTGTGGCATCACTTTCTTCCTAGGTTCTCCCTTCAGTTTCAAAAGTACATAAAAGTGTAACAAAATGTTTAAGATGAAAGTGACATCAACTATTTTTAAAAACCTAATAGGGAAGAAATAACTATTATTACAGAAATAATATATTTTGGTAACCCATGGACATTTGGTCATTAATTTCCAAGTTACACAAAATAAACTGGCCATTGGAATTAAAAAATGCTTCAAAACATCTATGGCAGAATACATGTAATCACAGTATTTTATATTATGATAATATATATTAATAACATTTTACCAGAGATAAGGTAAATGGTCAAAGAGAAGGAAAAACCTGACATGAAAGGAGTCAAGACTATTGACAATTCGGTAAAAGAAAAGAAATTAAAGTATGAGGTCCAAGTTTCATACGCTTTTTTTTTTTTTAATGTAGAAGCAGAGGTAACAAAAATTGGTCTTCACCTGGTAAGTGTGTACTCCCTGAGTCCTGAATGCAAATTCATGGCAGAAAAAGTACCTATGCATCCACGCAATCTTTTGTCTCGACCAATCTTCCATGTTACAAACAGTGGGCTGTAATGGAAGATAAAAATAGGGTAAATCAATCAATTCAATTCAAGCAAGTATTTATTGAGTATTTACTATATACTAGGTTAGGTGTCTGAGATATAAAGAACAAAAGACAGGCCCTCAAGGGGCTCACAGTCTAGCCCAATGGGACTGCATTTAGCAAAAATTGTACTACACTGTATTGAGGGTGTGCTATATGTTAGGCACCAAAATAAATGTTTTAAGCAAATTATTTATGTTAATCCTCATCAACAACTCTAGGAGGCTGATACTAACAATCCTATTTACAGATGAGGTAGTTCCAACGGTTAATACATAATGAAGTAGGCACTCAAACCTGGGCAAGCCTGACTATAGAGCCTTAACCATCAGGGATGACTGTCCAATTCCTCATTTAAACCTCAAGTTACTGATTGATTCATAAGAGTACTTTAGAAAATCAGGGGAAAAAATCAACAATTTCAATAAATACTTCCTGAAAATATAGGGGCTATGTACTGTGAAAGGGGCTACAAGGGATACAAACAGTTGTGTTTTTAGGAGCCAGTACAGGAGGCAGGCATGTTCACAGCTAACCAATACAAGGCAAGAGGAAATAAGTACTATAAACCACGTCCAAAATTCCATAAGTTAAGCTACTGGGATAGAAGAAAATTTTATCAAGCTTGATAATCTTTAGCTTGGACAAGAAAAAATGAGTAGGGTTCAAAGAGGTAAAGGGTAATAGCAAACATTAACAAATACTCTGAAACAAGAAAATTTATTTTAATATTTAGATAAAAGTAATTGCCTATAAATACAATCTCTTAAGCATCCAAGAGCAAAGTATCAATTATAATAAAATGACATCAAGAATAATGTGGCTTTAAATGTAGTTTAATACAGTAGATGTTTGGATTCTGCAGCAGCCTCAACTAATGGTTAAGTCTAAAAGCAATTATGTTCGAATTAGAAGCAACTTTATATGCCAGTTTTTATGAAATAAATTAATTTATACATTTTAGGACATTTTGTAAAAAGAGAAATATCCTACAGTTGGGAATGGTCTGTGTTAATATGAGTGAGTATTCATGGTAATACTGATATTACTACAATACATTTCTGCTTTCTAAAAATGTAAATTTTAGGGGGACATACCATATGTCATATTTCTTAAAAAGCTCTGGTGAGTTGGAGAACATTCTTTCTTTAAAATACTTTCTATGCAGACAAATTGGATATGTTAAAAAAAAGGAATTAAACAAATAATAAAATAAAATACTCTAGTCAGTCATTAGCAGTTTGATGAAAAAATATCCCATTCAAGCACTTCAATCACCCCCCTCAAACATTTAAATTATGCTGAATTCTGACAAATAGCCACAATGGCAGACAGGTTCCCAAAGAACTAATGTATGTAAACCAGGGAGCAACACTAAGAGTTACCTTCTTTCAAGAGCCAGCTGCCTAGTGGCAATGAAAAAGATGACTAAAGGATAAGGCCAATTTACTGGAAACGTTAGCATTCGAGTGCTGGATGACCGACACTAAAGGTACTAAAATAAGCAAAAAAAAAAAAAGTAAAGGCCAGGTTTTCAGCTTTCTACATCATATGTACCAAACATCTGATAACTTGAGACAAGATTCTAATGCTCCATTTGGAAAATTTTCTCTAATTGCTCATGACTAACAGCTGATGATGAAGACAAACATTAGATGCAATTACTATCTCCCAATTCTTTCATAACTTATACAAATAATAACTCGTATCCTAAAATTCACACATTAATTTTATTTTTTATTTATTTATTTATTTATTTTTTTCCTTTTTGTCTTTTTTCATGTCCGGCAACGGATCGCAACCCTCAGTGTCGCGCCCGTACCGGACCGGGACCGGCAACGGGATCGCAACCCTTGGTGTCGCGCCTGCACCTCGCTCAGCCAGTGAGCGGGAACCAGTCTGTATGTGGGATCCGAACCCTCAGCGGGAGCGCCTCTGTACTCCCAAGCGGCACACTGTAGCAGTGCGCCACCAACACACATTAATTTTAAAGACGAATTTTACCTCTTTATTTTTCACTTTCTAACTCGGTAGATTCAATATCAGCAACCATTTTTATGGACAGTAAGATACCAATCTTATCCCATAACAACGGCTATACAAAGTATCTGCATGTAAGACAAGTCCTTAGCAGCTTCAGAATGAACTGAATCACATTGTAATATATGTGATATCATATCTTGAAAATACCATGATGGCCTCTCAATAATGCAGAACGGCATTGTATATTCTCTTACTCCACTATTTGAGTGAGAAAACTAAAAATATGAGTGAATTAATTTCCTATCAAAAACACTAGAAATGAAAGTCATTTATAAGGGCTTTACCTTCAATTTTCTTATTTATCCCCACTAAAAAAAAATATATATATACATCATTCTTACTGTAATATAATCCTATCTGCTCAAGTAAAGATTCAAAATTTAAAGAACAGAAAAAGAACACAAACTAAACACTATACTATGAAATATTTTGGAAGGCATTCAAACACATGGTGGGGGAAATTATATATAGTCTCGTTAACACTATGCTATCACTGATGAGGGAATGATTAATTCGGGGCTCAGGGTGCTAGAGGATAAGCTGCACTTTGCAAAGCAGCCTGAGGAGCAAAGGTACACCACAATAAGCAAGGGCATGGAGATATAAAAGTGCACAGCACATTCAGGGAACAGGAAGTACTCTGACAGTCTTGATAACTTTATATGGTCTCTTCCTGATTTAACATTCTTTGAATATTAGGCACTGTTGAATATGTGTTCTCAAGAGCCCTCATATGAGGTAGAGCAGATGCAGAATTATCTATATTCTCTCTGTTCCTTACCTGCCCCAGGCAACATCTACTTTGGAGGGGGGTTGGGATTGTGGGTAAGTATGTGTGTCAGAGATGGGAGGGAGTGCTACTTGATAACCCCACTGTGTTTAGGACAGTTGTCTAATGATGGTAGAAATCAGAATTTTAGTAGATAAAATAAAACTATTCCTTAAAAATCTGGGACTCTAATTTCTCATTTACAAATGCCAATGCCTTTTATAAAGAACACGTATGTGGAATTAAAAACCACCAAAATACCTAAAAGCAACATTTAATGAGGAAAAGAACCTGGGAGTTAATCATTTTTTTTTTCCTTTTTGTCTTTTTTTACTGACCGGTAACGGGATTGCAACCCTCGGTGTTGTGCCCGCACCGCGCTCAGCCAGTGAGTGGGAAGCGGTCTCCACATGGGATCCGAACCCTCGGCAGGAGTACTGCCTGGAGTTAATCATTTTAAAGTAGACTGAAACAGAATAAACATCATTCAGCACAAGAGATTGTATCTTCTGTGTAATAACTACTTTGTACAGGGCAATGACTACAGCAACGTTCAATACATGCTACCTAAAAATAGTAACAAAAAATATACATCTGACAAAGGATTAATATCCAGAATATACAAGGAACTCAAACAACTTTACTGCAAAAAACCCAAATAACCCAATTAAAAAATGGGCAAAAGAGTTGAACAGGCATTTCTCAAAGGAAGATATACAAAAGGCCAACAGACACGTGAGAAAATGCTCAACATCACTCAGCATTCTGGAACTGCAAATCAAAACCTCTTTGAGATACCATCTCACTCCAATTAAGATGGCTAATATCTTAGGATGGCTAATATCCAAAAGACTGAGAATGATAAATGCTGACGAGGTTGTGGAGAAAAAGGAACTCTCATACATTGCTGGTGGGACTGCAAAATGGTGTAGCCTTTATGGAAAATGGTACGGAGGTTCCTCAAACAATTACAGATAGATCTACCATATGACCCAGCTATCCCACTGCTGGGAATATACCCAGAGGAAGGGAAATCATCATGTTGAAGGGATAATTGTACTGCAGTGTTTACTATACCACTATTTACAATAGCCAAGAGTTGGAACCAGCCCAAATGTCCACCATCAGATGAGTGGATACAGAAACTGTGGTATATCTACACAATGGAATTCTACTCTGCTATAAAAAAGAATGAAATACTACCATTTGCAGCAACATGGATGGACTTGGAAAAAATCATATTAAGTGAAATAAGTCAGGCACAGAAAGAGAAATACCACATGTTCTTACTTATTTGTGGGAGCTAAAAATAAATAAATAAATACACAAACAAATGGGGGGGTGGGGAAAAAGACACAACAATCACAATTCCTTGAACTTGTTAAGACAAGTGAACAGATATGATATTGATCAGTGGGAATGGGGAGATGGAGGGGGGAGGGAAGAATTGGTAAAGGGACATGAAAATCAACTACACTGTATACTGATAAAATAAAATAAAATAAATAAAACTAAAAATAAAAACTAACAAAAATTTTTCTTCACCCAACACACAGAGGGAAGAAATACTCAATTTCATTTTTAAATGTGCTATTAAAACACATATGAGTTACCAAAAAGATATAAGACATCTGCATAATCAGAGCCAGATCAAAGTAGAAAAAAGGTTTTGAGTCTTTTGAAAGAAGCTGCTCAATTACAAGGAAATAAGGAAAATAGTTCATAGTAAGACAAAAATTGAATGTTTTCGGAAAATGCTTTTGCCATATGGTTTGAGGCCACCTACGTCATTGAAAAAAATACTACAAACTAGAAAGGGACTCAAAATGAGATGAAATATTAATGGAAATGTTTATCTAAGGGTAAGCAGACATCGCTTTTTAAGGAATTTTTTTACTTCTTAACATTTTGTACCACTATGTTCTGAGAAACCTTTGGAGGAAAGTAAACTCTCCATTTTTCCAAGTCTGTAGACAGGAACAGGAAATAACCACCTAATCTAGGTGACTCCTCCCTGCCCATTGGCAGCCAATACTGTCATGTCTACAGTGGCTCTCAGGGAAATGTAGTTGCATGGAATCAGCAAAAGTACAAAAAGCAATGTAAATCTGAACAGGACACTTCCCAGTCCAAGTGCTATGCCACTTTCCG